ATAATTTAGATCTCCTCATCTCAAAACTGCTAAGTTTCTGTAATCACACAGGGGTTTAATACCGTTGTAATTGAAGACTCTGGGTGAATGGGACTTTGGGCCAAGACTGACAACAACAGGGCAAATGCCCCACCTTCTAAGCTCAAGTGTAGCTAAACCAAATATGCAGGACTTTCAAAGGGATGATCCCAACTGGTTCTACAACCTGTAGCTAAAGAGCCCCATCCAAACCTTGCAAACATTACGCCAAGTGAAAGAAGCCAGACACTAAGGCCACATATTGTTTGATTCCTTTTATATGAAATGTCCAGAATAGGCAAACCCACAGTGACAAAAAGTAGGTTAGTGGTTGTTGGGGGCTCGGTAGGGGGTGGGAGTAACTGCTTAACGAGTACTGGGCTTCTTTGGGGGATGATGAAATTATTCCGGAATTAGAATTAATTGCACAATAATGTGAATATATTAAAATAACTGAATAGTATACTTTTAAAAGATCAAATGGTAAATTTTACCTCAACTAATTTTTTTATTTTGTTATTAACTTATTTATTTTTCTTTTTTATTGAATTTATTGGGCCAATTTTTTTTTTAAAGAACATATCAATGAAGTCCTTGGAGTGGGTATGTGGGTCCTGCATGCCCCCTCAACCCCTGACCCCCGCCCACCCCCATCCCTCCCATCTCTAGTCTAGGGAGCTTCCAGAGAACGAGCCCACAAGTTGCCGTAGGCCTCCTGCAGTTCAGAGAGCACAGGGACTGCCGCTCAAGTCTCTGTTCAGTGAGGAACATAGTACCGGGTGAGAGGTGGCCCTGCCATAAATCTTGGCCAATTTCATAAGTCCACTGAAGCAGGCCAAAAGAACAAGGGGCTTTTGCAGGAGCAGAGGGGGCAAAGGTGCATGTTTCTTATGGGCCAAGGCTCCCGTCACATTGTAAAAACCCTACCAAGAGTGCCACGCCCAGGGTGGGGACACCTCAACAGAGAGCTCCAGGGAAGAGTCTCCTCCTGCAGAGCTAGAGACCGCAGTGAGCACGAGCACTCTCTCCGAAGGACACCGATGAGCCCCCAGGTTCAAAAAGAAGGAACATTAGATATCTGCTGGTGTCCCAACCACACCTGCTTAGAGGGCGCATGCTGTAATCAAATGGGATGTGGCATATGAAAACCCTTCATAGGATATAAAGTGCTATTAAAGTGTTCATTGTTAGTAAAAATGACTCCAAGTTATCAAGCTAGTGCTGTAACAATTTCTTGTCTCATATCTCTAACTTCGTAACTTTTTGACTGCAACCTGAGAAATTTAGGAAATCACGGGGCTAGAAAAACACCAGAGATTTCATCTAGTTAAATGCCCTGCTCCACGGTAGGCGTTACTTCCATACTCAACACACCAGGTTCAGAATCATGTCAAGTGTCGATCCACTTTCCACTGTCTGTTGGAGTCATTACTGAACGGTCAAAAATATCAATGGATTGCCCTGCCCAGTTGACTCAGTCGGCTGGGCACTGTCCCACAAAGAGAGAGGTTCCCGATTCCATTCCTGGTTAGGTCGCAGGCCTGGGTTATGGGTTTGGTCCCTCGATGGGGCGTGTACGAGAGGCAACAAATTGATGATTGTCTCTCACATCAATGTTTTTCCCCCTCCCTTCCCCCCTCTCCAAAAATTAATAAAATCTTAAAGAAAGAAATCAATAGATTGTGCCATATGGGAAAGGCCAGAGGAATATCTATCTGTCCTATTTTAAACTCCTGATAAGGCAACTGAACCATCTGTCTTGGCAATCCATTCCAGGCTGGAACCACCCTGTCAGAAATGTCTTTCTTCCGTTTAATCTAAATCCTTCAGATGGAGCCTCCAGCTAAGGTAGTCTCATTCCACTTTCAAATACTTTGGAATGGCAGTTACAGGTCTGGGTGATAGGATTATACAATGTCACAGGGTTACGGTGGGCAGTAAATGAAATAATGCATGTAAAACACAGAGAGCTCAGTCTCGGGCACATCATTAAGGCCCAAGACACATTTACTTTTACCATCATTTATACCAGGGACTCTTTCAATCACAAGTGACATAAACACACTCAAAATCATTTACGCCAAACAAAGGGAGGGAATGGAGAATGTAATTAAAAAGGAAATATAATGTGCAGGGACCTTCAGGCACTACTGGATCCAGGAATCAAATAATGTTGGCAGGGCTCCTCTTTCCCCTCTTCCCCACAAGCTTCTGACATACAGCAGGCAAGATGGCAAGAGCAGACTCAAGTGGGGTAAGCCTTGAATAGGTTCCCTATTTATAATTTTATTCATCAAAAGTTTCGAATGCCTCGCAAGTGTCAAGCAGGGTTGTAGGAGCTAAGAGCCGTGACTAAGACAAAATTTCTGCCCTCGTGGAATTTACCTTCTGGTTGAAAGAGTGAACAAGGTAGAAGGTGAATGGATGCGACAAAAATAAAAAATTATCCTCCACAAAATAAGGTCACACCTTATACTGTTATTAAGGTTAACTCTTAGCTTTCTCTTTTCCAAGCTAAGTGAACCCATCCCTTTCATAGCTCCTTTCTCCTTGAAAAATGTGCAGAATCCAAAAATAAGGTATTCAAACAGAGAAATATAGTTGTCTCTGGATTTTGAGTATATTTAGTTTATTTATACGGTGGAATCTTTGCATAATATTTCTGTGTGTGACTGCAGCTATAATAACATAACCTTCTGTTTCCATTTTGAAAGTCGCTTATTCTTTTTAGACTATGTTTGTATTAAATACAGGTCTTTTGTCCACCTTCATGGTCTCGACTTTGACTAGGATGATAGCTGCTTGGTAAAACACTGCAAAAATTTATTAGGCATTTAAAAATTATTCCTCTGAGTAAAAAAAAAAAATTCTATTTCTCTGTGTTAACCATTCTAACTGTAAAAACGAAGGCTTAGAGACCCAGTTTTTTGAGACCCCCAGGAAGTGTTGCCTGACTTTAGAAAAATCTCAACCTCTGCTTCTTCCCTGGGACCTTCCAAGGAGGAATGCGTTCAGTAAGTATTTCAGGCTGTATGTAATCCTTTTATGGCAACATTGAACTTTTCATGAAACTGAAACTTATTTGAATCAAGCTGCTCTCACCTGAAAAACCTTGATGGACCAGTGCTATTCCAGACTAATTACACAAACAGGCTAACTAAATTAACAATGTACACAATTCTCTTTAAAATATAGCAGTGGAGATCTGTGCTACCGGGTGAATCCATTCATGGGCAACGTAGGGACCAACACTCCTTAAATTCAGGGGGGTGGGGGGAGAGAGAGAGAGAGAGAGAGAGAGAGAGAGAGAAGGCGGGAGGGTTATTGATCATCATCATCATTTTTTATTAAGTAACTTTACAAGTTACTTAATATACGCTCTGCTCACAATTGTTTTTATCAATTGGTCCTTATTTTCATTCTTCCCATCTCTTTTGCTTTGTTTAATATCTCTTGTCAAGGCAGTAATTTATTTCTTTTAATCCGGATAAAATAGGCAAACGGGCCATTTGGCTCAGTCAAATCCTATCGTTAAAACTCACCTTAGAATTATACAAAAATGGATTTTTAGCCTAAAAGCTCAACAGCCCCACACCCTCAACCTCATTTATGTACTTTTGCGGGGGGGGGGGGCGGTCTACAGGGGCTTGCACCTTTCCTTGCCTGCTAGGCCGAAGCACGCTTGAATCGGGCATCCCAGTCCCCCTACGTCTCTGGAAGCGATGAAGAATCTCTGAGCAGCCACTCCTGGGATCAGTCCCTGTCCGGAGCGAGCCGGATATTTTTTAAAGCTTAATGCCCTTATCTTTGCATTCCAGCCGGAAGGTCGACTCCAAACCTTCTTTCTGCTGCTCCTCCTTCGCGAATTGGCCACCATCCCTGATGTCGCCTCCCGAGTTAGGAAACGGGTAGAACTTTTACAGGGAGGTTGGTAGTGTCCCCGCTGCGTGCGCCTTCCCGGTTCCTCTAGTGGAGATCCCCGTCGCACTAAAGGGACCATGCCCAATCTTCCTACCCGCCACCTCCCCAAATGTGGGAGGAGACGGAAGGCTGCTTCAGTGTTTATTTTGTGAACCTTTAAAACCAACTGCATTTAGCGCCGTGGAAACCGGCTTGGCCCTCGCCCAAAGAAAGACTTAAAAGGTCGAGGAGTGCTGGAGACCTGAGCAGCCGCGATTAAGTGGGGCTTCCCAGGGTGCGACCTCTTCCTCTCGGGCTGGGTGTGTCCCCCTCAATCATCCAACATCCCACCATCACCGGGTGCTGGATTAAACGGACGCAATTGGCGGAAGTGGGTGAGCGCGTCCCCCCACCCCAGGGGACTCCAGCCCCGGCGTGAACCCCGGCGTGGACCCCGGCCCCACCCAGCTCGCCCACCCGCGCGCCCGCTCGCCCGCTCTCCGACGTCCGCGAAGAGCCGGAGGAGGAAGCCTGCGGGACCGTGGGGTGGGCGTCGGCTGCCGCTCCGATTGGCTGTGCTGTCGCCCTTTCCCGCGCCGCGATGCCCCCCTCCACTCGCCCAGCCCGCTCCAGCCTTCAGCCTCGGAGCTGCTTCCCGCAGGAGGGAGGGCGCTCAGGGGCGGGCCGCGTCTTCCCGCTCCGCACCCGACCCCGCAGCGCGCGGGGATAAAACCCGGTCGGCGGCGGGCGGGAACCCAGGGAGGGTCCAGCAACCTCTGGAGCGCGGAGAGGCGGGGCCGGGTCCCTCCGGCTGCCGGCGCCCCCGCCCCTCGGACCGGGCTCCGGGAGCTGGGCCCCGGGCGCGCGGGCACAAGACGGCCAGAGCGCCAAAACGGTACCTTCCCTGAGCAATGAAAAGGACCCAGGAGAACTCACCAGCGCCAGCGGAGACGTTTCCTGCTCCCGGGGTTGCTGCTGCCGCCGCGGCGCCTGAAAACTCCCAAAGTTGAGAGCCAGCGAGAGGCTGCCGCCCGCCGGGAGCAAGAGGGAAAGGAACTCGGAAGATGCGAGAGTGACAGAGACAGACAGACGCACCGACCTTCACAAGGCATCACCGTTGGTAGTCTGTCCCGACTCCGTGAGGCTTCTCAGCTCTGTGAGTTGTGTTCTGGACGGGTGGCTTGCTAAGTATTTCCGTTCAATTGTTTATAGCATGCGTTTGTGTATTTTTGCGTCTGTTGGAGGGAGTTAAAAAAAAAAAAAAAGCAGGATGCACCTAAAAAGAATATTGTATTTCTGATGTTGAGACGGTTGTATTTGTAGATTGTGTGGCTGTAAATGTCTGTAACCCAGGAGGAATTGCATTTAATAGTAAAAAGGCAACGTAGGCTCCCCAGTGTGGAATTAAACCTCCATTTCCAAAGTTACTAGAAAGAAAGCAAGATGTGACTCTTAAGGGTTAATTGGTGGTAGTTAACTTTGCTTTTTTTTACCCCTCTTTAAATATTGACTGTTTACCAGATTCATTGGTGGGAGGCTGAGCTGGTGGCGAAGACGCCTGGAAGAGACTGAGAGACCATAATGTCTTTGCGCTTACACACACTGCCCACCCTTCCTGGAGTTGTGAGACCCGGCTGCAGGGAACTGCTATGTTTGTTGGTGATCACGGTGACTGTTAGCCCTGGCGCCTCCGGGGTGTGCCCCACCGCGTGCATCTGTGCCACTGACATCGTCAGCTGCACCAACAAAAACCTGTCCAAGGTGCCTGGTAACCTTTTCAGACTGATTAAGAGACTGGATCTGAGTTATAACAGAATCGGGCTTCTGGATTCTGAGTGGATTCCAGTATCGTTTGGAAAGCTGAACACCCTAATTATTCGCCATAACAACATCACCGGCATTTCCATGGGCAGTTTTTCCACAACTCCAAATTTAAAGTGTCTTGACTTATCCTCGAATAAGCTGAAAACTGTGAAAAGTGCAGTGTTCCAAGAGTTGAAGATTCTGGAAGTGCTCCTTCTTTACAACAATCACATTTCCTATCTTGATCCTTCAGCGTTTGGAGGGCTCTTCCAATTGCAGAAACTCTACTTAAGTGGAAACTTTCTCACAAAGTTCCCCATTGATTTGTATATCGGAAGGTTCAAACTGGCAGAACTGATGTTTCTAGATGTTTCTTATAACCGGATCTCCTCCCTGCCAATGCAACATATAAATTTAGTGCCAGGAAAGCAGCTGAGAGGCATCTACCTTCATGGAAACCCATTTGTCTGTGACTGTTCCCTTTACTCATTGCTGATCTTTTGGTATCGTAGGCACTTTAGCTCAGTGATGGATTTTAAGAATGATTACACCTGCCGCCTGTGGTCTGACTCGAGGCACTCCCATCAGGTGCTTCTGCTCCAGGATAGCTTTATGAATTGCTCTGACAGCATCATCAATGGCTCCTTCCGTGCACTTGGCTTTATTCATGAGGCTCAAGTTGGAGAAAGGCTGATTGTCCACTGTGACAGCAAGACTGGTAGTTCAAATACTGATTTCATGTGGGTGGGTCCAGATAACAAACTGCTAGAGCCGGACAAAGAGGTGGAAAACTTTCGCGTGTTCCACAATGGAAGCCTGGTTATAGAAAGCCCTCGTTTCGAGGATGCTGGAGTATATTCCTGCATTGCAATGAACAGGCAACGCCTGTTAAATGAAACTGTGGATGTCACAATAAATGTGAGCAATTTCACTGTAAACAGATCCCATGCCCATGAGGCATTTAACACAGCGTTTACCACTCTTGCAGCCTGTGTGGCCAGTATTGTTTTGGTACTTTTGTACCTCTATTTGACGCCGTGTCCCTGCAGGTGTAAAGCCAAAAGACAAAAAAGTATGCTAAACCAAAGCAATGCCCATTCATCTATTCTCAGTCCTGGCCTGGCTGGTGATGTCCCAGCTGAGGAACGGAAGGCAGGTGGTGCGGGTAAAAGAGTGGTGTTTTTGGAACCCCTGAAGGATACTGCAGCAGGGCAGAATGGGAAAGTCAGGCTCTTCCCCAGTGAAACCGTTATCGCTGAGGGCATCTTAAAGTCTACAAGGGTGAAATCCGACTCAGATTCAGTCAATTCGGTGTTTTCAGACACACCCTTCGTGGCGTCCACTTAATTTTGTGCCTATACTTGTATGATGTAGTAATTTGATCTCTCCATCCTTAACTTTGTGGTCTGTGAAATAAACAGAAGGAATGAAATTCTTTTTGGTTTTTTGAAATACAACCAAATGGTCTTTTTGAAAAATGGCTGATAGGAAATGTGGTAAAGCACTTGGGTTCCTCAATGTGCCAGAGAAAGATGGCATTGTTTTCCAAAGTTTAGGTTCTAGACAATACTATATTAGTCTTTTAGCACCTTTGATCACTTCAAAGCTGCTCTGGAGATGATTTGACTGGCATTGTCCTTTTATTCAGGATTCTTGAGAGAAAAAAATAAACTGTGTTATTAGTGTTCTTTAAAAAGAGACTTTACTAACTTACTAGGACCAAAGTTGAGTTATTTTAAAGAAAAATGTTAATGTCCTATTCCATTTGGAAGAACCAAACAGCCATTATTTATAAAGCACAAAAATAAAGCTAGATTTGGGAATAATTCAGCTAAATTCATCATTTGAGATCAGAGTAAACAGACCTCACTGATAAAATGTACTGGGTACTGCCACATCTTGTATGATGTTAGATAAATAGTGCAATAAAGGTACATTTGTTTGACTGTCTTTCCATTCTGTATATTTTCTATCCTTGTATAAAAGGTCTTATTGAAAGTTTAAAGTCATTATTATTTGTTGCCATAAATATGTAGGTGTCAATACCAAAATGTCTGAGTAATTTCTTAAATCTTTGTTCCAGTAGATTAATATTTGCTTATATGCTTGTGTGTTATGTAAATCTTAATTTGTGTGAATCACTAAATAGATCCTCCTGTATTGTGCTTTGGACATTTGAATTAATGTAAGTATATGTATTATGTGACTTGATGTTCTGTTTTATTTGGCTATTTAAAAACATAAATCTAAAGTGTTTTATGTGATCAGATTGCTGTACTCTGTGTAAAGCACCTACTATAGCAAATATCTCTCCAGAGTTCTTGCAGTTAGAGTACAGAATTTATTTAATAGATTGATTTTTAGAAAGAGAGCAAGGAGAGAAACATTAATTTGTTGTACCACTTTTTTATGCATATATTGGTTGATCTTGTATGTGACCTGATCAGGGATTGAACCCACAACCTTGGTGTACCGGGATGATACTCTAACCAACTGAGCTTCCCGTCCAGGACATAAAGTTTATTTATTTTTTTAAAGGGAAACAAAGGCTCTAAAGTAATCTCCATCAATTTATACCTTCTCTATCACATTTTACTCTGATACTCTTATGCACTTGAACCCGGTTGGGAAGACATGTGGGCTTCGATTCTGCAACAGGAGAAAGCCCAGGAAACCTCCTTCTTATCTCCATCATCTGCTATGAGGTAATAGGGTACCCAATCTGGACCTAGGTTTCCTGTTATAAAAATGAAAGTTTCAGACAGGTGATGTTTAAGGTTCCTTCCCACACTGGGAGTGATGCTTTCCTGGTGCTGTTTGCTCCCTCACAGACTTGTACTGGCTCTCTCAAACTGTATACTGATGGAATACAAAATGAGATTAGGATAGACTAGCATAGCACTGCAGAACTTGCAGGGACATTTTGGATCATTGTCTACCTACTTCCCTTTTTCAGGGAAAATGGAGCTCAGAGAGGTTTGTGGACTGTCTAAGGCCACACAGTGACTCAGGAAAACTCAGGTTCAAGCTTTGCCCTGGTGAAGATGGTTATTTTTAACAGTGGGTGTAGAGAAGGAGCCAAGAATAAGACAAAACAGTGGTCAGAAAATGGCAAATGAGGTTCAGAGATGTGTTGTCGGTGGGGCTAAGAAAAGAGAATTTGTACAAGATGGAAGCGGGCAACAGGGACAAATACTGCAGAGAAATAGCTGAGGAGAAGGGAAGGCTGACTTTGGCCGTGGTTTTGGGAGAACAGTGGACACTTGGTGACAGCTCAGGAAATGCCAGGCCGGGCTCCCAGTGGCAGACACTGTTCAGCAGGGGGTTAAGGAGTGAGGACCCAGGGTGTGTGCCTTGGGAACAGGATACAGAGCCACTGCTCAGTAACGCTGACAATTCCTTATTGCCTGGTGGTAAGAAATGACTGCCTCTGCCTTTTAAACACAAACCTCACCTGTTAGATAAGATCCGTCAGACTCAAAGATGTTACAGGCAAACATTTTATTGCAGTTACTGCCATGTAAGTAATTAGGAAGAATTCAATGATTTGTATCATCTTTAAAATCATCACTCCTTTCAGAAAGAAGTTTCTGAACTTCCTCCAGGAAGTCTCCTAGAAAAACTCAGACTGAGGTGGTGTGGTTTGTTCTGCTTCATGCAGCCGGTCTGAACACAAGTGAAAATTCTTGAACCACTGACGTTCCAACAGGGCGAGGGCTGTGTCCAGGGGTCACAATGACCCTGACTTGGGGAGTGCAAAGAGCAGGGCCCATACGCTGGCAGGGAAGTTGCAGAGAGGAACTTTGAATGGAACCTTATCTGGCTGGGATCTCTAAGTCTTTCATCCCTGTGCAGGGGAACATGGGAGGTGCTGAGCAGAGTCTGAAGGGCCTGATCTTGGCTGGTCCTAATAAGCCTTGGGTAAAGGACAGGCTGAACTGAGCTAAAAACTAACGTGCTTAGAACTAAAACAAAGGAAAACCAAAAATCCTGAATACTGAAAAAATACTTTTGAATAAAAATAGGGAGGCACAATGATGAAAAAGCATACAACTGAATGTTATGCAGAATTTTAAGTTCTTAGGTGTATTATTTTTTTTTTTTGTAGGAGCCTGGTCACATGTATTTTAAATACAGGAACAGAACAAATTTGTGCTTTATAAATGTCCCACTCAAAACTTTTACATAATTTTTGCCTCAAATAATCTGGATTTATGTTACAGGGTTATTCTTTTAAACTGCTTAGTATTTTTCATTGAGCAATTGTGAGAGAGCTGGGTACTCTTTGGAGAATCTAAGCATAGATCATAGACAAGAGATTTTCCTAGGCTTAGAGTATTTTTTTTTTTTACTATAATTAGGAGATACTGGTGTATGATAATATATTCCATAATTAATCATGAGTCGAATCTCTTCAATATGCTTTTAGGGTTTCTAATTTGAAAGAATGGCCTAAAATGTCTTATTTATAGTTATGCATGAATCCTCACTGGCCTGGAGAGATTTATATATATATATATTTTTAGTTTTAATTGCTTGAATTATTTGCCTAGGCAAAATGGCTTTTTATTTTTCTAACTAAACATTTTTCTAAAATGTAAATCAGAAGGGATGTAGGTGAAACTTAGGGGATGGAAACATAAGGGAAAAGGAGCCCCACTGTCAGTCCAAATTCTGAAAAGACATCTGATTTGGATCACCCTGTTAAGCACTGTTAAAACATGATACAACCTAAACAGCCTCCAACGTAGTGGCTTTTCCGCTGCCGTTACTGCTGCTGGATTACTGTCCCCTTTTAGTGTCGTCTGGTATACCCAATGACCCAGCAATAGGTCTAAAACCAGGCTTAGCGAATCACAGGGAGAAGTTAGGTGAGCAAGGGTTTCTCGTAGTTATCGCCTACACACCCGCTAACCAGAGAGCTGGTTCATGCATTCTGGGCGAGGGCCTGCCATCGTATTTAAAAAAAAAAAAAAATTCCATGCAATTCGGATTCTGCCTCACGTTGATGAAATATGTTCTATAGAGAGACTATAGCAAATTTGTGTTTGGGCTATATCAGAATACTTGCTATTATTATTACTTGCTACTGGATTTATTAATAAAAAGAAGAATTTTAGTGCAGTGCTCTTTTAAAAAATTCTAACGTTAGGAAAATGAAAGAGTTTGATTTTCTGACACTAAGTGAACTCAAGAGTAAACTGTTGGCTGTGAGTTATGATTTATATTTTTCTAAATTATGAAATATGGAATAATTATTTTGAGATGACTAAATCTCTGACTCTTTCATTTTTAAACTATTTTTGGTTTGAACACAGTGCAAATAGCTTTGGAGCTTTCAAATTTGATTAGATCAAAGTAAAATGAGGGCATGTCCCAAGGATGTTGAGTGTAGATTTCATGTCCCAAGAACCAAGCTCCTTTGTTTTTTTCAATATATGAGAAATATTTTTTAAAAGAGAGTACTAAGATTCTTTTTGTGGTTCTCTCATTTCTGCCCAGGGCCAGCCCCCAAATGTGAAAGTTAGTGTGGAAAGGTGATGACTTAATTTGTTCTTGCAAGTATTATTGGATGATAATATATAGAACTAAGAACTCTCATAATAACCTTCTGAATAATTGAGAATATTGCTTACAGGGACCACTTTTACTGGTGGATGGACTCTAGGGAGGGAGTGAGCAGTGAGGAGCAGAGTCAACAGAGTATAGAAAAACAGACCCTTTGCAAATTGGGAAATGTGATGCTTATGACATTTATACTGGCATTACTTTATTAAGGACCTACTAAGTGTCAAGCACACTGTGAGAGGTGGTGTTTATTATTATTTCTCATCACAGCAGCCCTGAAGGATAGGAAATGTTACCCCCAGTTACAGATAGGAAAAAGAGGCTCAACAGGGATAAATCATTTTCCCAGGTGACTCAGCTAATAAGTGGTTTTTATCCTGATATTAATCTAAAAATTATCTCCCACAGTACTCTTACAGGTGTTCTGCTGATAGGATGACTTTGTGAAGCATGGGTTGGTCATGAATAAACATTTTATAAATGTCAGAATATGAATGAATTAATGCTCACAGCAAGTCTGGGAGAAGAGGAATGGAAGATTAGGGGATCATATCCTGCAAACATAAAGGCGGATATGACTTTTTTTTCCTCCTTTGTGAAACACAATGCATCACAAGTAGCAAAAACAGAAATCCTGAGGAGGCCTAAGGTTAATAGTCAAGGTGTCCTCCAGGTGATTGGCTCTTCTTATTCTGGTTGCCCTTTACTCGGGAAGTTGCTTAATATGCAAAACAAATATCTGCTTTATCATTACAAGCTACAACTTCAAGATATTTAAATGGGAAATGATTAAATTTGATGTTTTTTTAAA